CCACCACACACACCCCCACACCGCCACACATCCCCCCACACATTCCCCACACCGTTACATTCCTCCCACTGCCACACACTCCCCACATCACCCCCATTTCCCCCCCCCACATTCCCCACACCATTACATCCCCCTCCACAACCCCCCACATCCCCCGCCACACATCACCCCACCGACACATCCCCCTCACATCGCCCCCACACCAACCGCCACACCCCCCCGACACCGCCACACACCCCCAAACACCTCCCACACAACCCCCACTTTCCTCCACCGCCACACACCCCCCACATCACCCCCATTCCCCCCCACATACCGTTATATCCCCCGCCACACACCTCCACACACCACCCACACGCCACCCACATCCCCCCTCACCGCCAGTCCCCCCATACCTCCTACCCCCACAGCACCCCACCACCACACCTCCTTACCCAGCACCACACCCCCTCAACCAATCCCACACCACCACACCTTCTCACCCACCATCACACCCCTCCTCGACCACCACACCCCCTCACCCACCACCACCACACCCCCTTACCTACCCCCACCACCACCACAGCGCCCCCATCGCCACAACCACCACATCCCACCGCTACACCAACCGCCACACAACCCCCCCACCGCCACACCCCCTCACCCACTGCCACATCTCCCCCACACCCACCCCCTCACCTACCGCCACATTCCCCCCCACACCGACCGCCACATCCCCCCCACACCCACATGCCACCCCCTCACACTCACTGCCACATCCCCTCCCCTCACATACACCAACTGCCACACCCCCCCACAATCCCCTCACCCACCCCCAATTCACCCACCCACACCAACAGACACATCCCCCCAACCGCCACATCCTCCCTACACACCTACCCCCATATGCCCCCCCCCACACCCACCGCCGCATCCACCACCCACACATGCACCGCCACAACCCTCCCCAAACACCCACCGCCACACCCTCCAGACACCCACCACCACATTCCCCCCTCCTCCACCATCACATTCCCCCCTCACCCACTGCCACATTCCCCCCTCACCACCACGTGCCCCACCGACCCAAACCCACTGTCACATCCCACCCCACACAACCCATCCCCACACACACATCCCCCAACACCCGAACCACACACACACACACACTCCCCCCACACACACACATCTTCATGCACGCCCTCAACCACCCCTACTCTACCTCACCATACCCCTGCACCTACCCTTATCCTTCATCACACCCTTCCCCCATTACTGATCCACAGTCTCCCTCACACCTTCAATTCTCTCTCCCCACACTAACCCCATACCTTCACTCATATCCTTCCTCACAACCTCACTCACACCCTTCTCCAAATCTAAAACCTTACAGACCCTCAACCTCCTCATCCCTCACCCTCCCCGAAATCCTGAGCCACACTGACCCTCGCTCACACTGATCCACACCCACACTGACCCTCCATCCCCTCCCCCTCACTGACCCTCAAACCCCACTTACCCCACACCATTCCCTCGCTGACCCTTCCCCTCCCTCCACACTGAACCTCACCATTGCCTCTACACCATCCCCCTCATAGACCCTTCGCTGACCTTCACCCACACACTCACCCTCACTGACCCTATGTTCTGTCCATAAATGACCCCAAGCTTCCAGCTGCCTGCCTCAACAGATCACCGTGCTCCCTGGCCAACATTTCTGTCCCAGACCTGTTGCGATGCTCCAGCAAGGCACAATGCAAGCCAGAGGAATAATACCTCATCTTTCACTGAGGTACCTTCCACTTTAGGTAATTTTCAGACCATAAACACCTCCTTCCAGGTCGATTACTTGCCTCGAAAACCCCAGGTTGCTTCCAGCACAGCCAAACCATTTTCAACTACTGACAATGTGGTCTCCTCTACATTGGGGAAATGAAGCAAAGACTGGGTGAAGGCTTCACAGAACATGTATGGTTTGCTCGCAAAAAAGATCCTGAGCTTCCAGTTGCCTGCCACTTTAACATACCACCCTGTTCCCTAGTCAACATCTCTGCGTCAGGTTTACTGCAGTGTTCCAGCGAAGCTCAGTGCAAGCTGGAAGAACAACACCTTATTATCCCTCTGGGGACCCTTCGGCCTTCCAGACTCAATATTGAGTTCAATAATTTTAGGGCCTGAATCTCCCATGTCCTAGACTCCTACCCCAACACACCATACCTTGTTATTACATAGCCTGCCATACACACTACCTACTGTTAGCCACTGCCAGTTTCCATTAACAGCAATTCACCCTCCTAGCCAGATCGTTATCAACTCCTTTGTCTGTCCAACCATTCTCTCTCCTTGGGCTCTATCCCCATCTATCCTTTACTCCTAACCCCCTCCCCCCACCCTATCATCTGCATATAAACCAACACTTTCCTAGCCACCATCAGTTCTGAGGAAGGATTAGCGGCCCTGAAATGTTAACTCTGATTTCTTGTCACAGATGCTGCCAGACCTGCTGAGCTTTTCCAGCAGCTTCTGTTTTTGTTTCTAATTTACAGCATCCATAGTTTTTTCAGTTTTTATTCAACTACTCACAGTCCCCATTATCATTCACCTAACTTCTCTTCCCTGGCTTACTATCTGCAATCCCTTTTTATTCTCTCTCTGGGCTCTGTCTCGACTTATCCGCTCACTCCTTCCTCCACACTCTGCGGTATCAGCATAAATACCACTCTTTCCTCGCTGCTTTCAGTTCCAAAGAAAGATCACCACTTGAAACATTAACCCCTGTTATCTCTCCACAGGTACTGCCAGATCTCCAGCAATTTCTGTTTTTGCTTGATTCAGTATCCTCAAAACTTCTTTTTCTAATTTCTTGGCAAAGCTGGAAGTTATTATACCTTTAAACAAAATGTTGAACAAATTCTGAGTCTGTTGCAGTTACTTTTGATCATAAATACACAAATGGCCACAGCCAATGGCTTAACCACAGAGACACCTATTGATCTGTGCTTGTAACACAATCAGTTTATATATGTGTTTATATGTCCGTGTTTCGGACAGTAGAGGGAAGTTCTACAAATCCTAAGAACTGGAGTGGGCCATTCAGTCTCTTGAGGCATCCTGCTCTGCCATTCAATAAGATCTTGGCTGATCTGTGCCTTGGGCCCATATTCCCTGAAACCCTTGCTTAATATAAAATTGTCATTCTCAGATTTAAATTTAATAATTGAATTAACATAAAATGCTGTTGGAGAAACTCTAATTTTGGCAATACGGTCTATCCTGCCCTTCAGCATCTTTTTATTATTTCTCACTCCTGGCTTACTAAATACATGTTTTACAGTCGTCTTGTTCATTAAATTGGCCTTACTTGTTCTTCATATTAACCTGTACCATCTCCTCACCAGCTGCTTTGTCTCCCACTCCCCTGCCATACTAGTTTAAATCAGCCTGACTCCCTTACTGACTTCTTAAATTTCAAGAGTTCTCTGTTCTTTCTAACCCATTCTCCTTCTCCTTTGAGCTTATTTCTCCTTTCCGTTATGCTCTTTCACTACTATCCCATTTCCATTGTACACTTGCTTTCTGTGCCTCCCAGACCTCTGGGGATTATCAGAGAAAGGGTTTCCTTGATTAGGTTCAATGTGTAAGTAAGTCTGTAGTCATCTGCCATAATACCAACATTGTTCATTCTTGTAACTCATTGACTTTCAATATGGGACTTTATGTTAACGGGAATACTGTTATTGACCTCTTTCAAAAGGACTAATTTCTGTACATTCTTGTAAGAGGGGTCTAATCTTACAAAAAAATCCCATCAATCTAAAGTCACAGATTCTTTCAAATTCACTCTTTGAAATTCATCCATTTTTAGGAATTTCTGATGGTGGGCTTACGTACTCACTTGTGCTTTTAAAATGTTGGTTTTAATCTGTTCATAATGTAGATAGTTTTCTTCTGACAATAAGCTTTGCAAGAACTTCCAACTAATTCTCCCCTTTAATAGTCAGATCCAAAATTCTCTTGGCTCTTTCATTCTCCAAGCACCTTTCTGAAATGAAATGAAGTAGAATTAGCCCTCAGCTTCGTTAAATTGTGAAACTAACTGTTTCAGAAAATCAAACTTCTGTTCTGAATCCAAACCAGAATCAGAATTTTTAGTGACATCTGTCTGATTCTCCAATTTCAGTTTTGCCTTCTCCAATTCAAACTGTTGAATGTCTCTCTCCTGCATTTCCTCTCACTTTTTTTACAATTTGGAATTTGAATAATTCATTGTCGGTTGCTGCTTACAAGCTTCTTCCTCTATCTTTGGTTCAATATTAGCTGGAATTTTGATGATTTCAGTCCCTCATGCTTTCAGTCCTGTAAAGCTACTGGTTTAACTACAGTCCTTAATTAGGTAATTGAAAAGAATTATTTGATATTCCATCTTTATTAGCACTGACAGGTCTGTAATTAAGTTGGCTAGGACTGTGTTCAATAGAGTTTAGAAGAATGAGGATGGGGGTGTCTCATAGAAACGTATAAAC